CTTTATCGCGGTAAGTGTCTTTAAACGAGGTGGAGGAGTCGCATTAATTGTCAAAAACATTTTTTCTCCTATAACTATTTTTTCGGAATCGGTAGCGAACGCATATGAGGTACTGTGCTGTGATTTGTCAGTCAACCTGTCCACGCTTCGTCTTGTTTTGATATACAGAACACCTAGTTGTATGGCTTCTATGTCGGTCCAACTGACCAAGGCCGTAAGTGACATGGTTTCTTGTAAACACTGCGCAATTGTGATCGGTGATTTGAACTTCCCATGCATAGCCTGGAAGGGCTCAGTCCAGTCTCAAGGGAATCGGATTTCTGCTAGTGCCCGGGCATTCCTGGAGATGTGTGAAACCCATGCATTAAAGCAATACGTTACTACTGGCACTCTGAATGAGAATATTCTTGATTTGGTTCTGTCCAATGGGGATAATTTAGTCACAGACCTGGAAGTACACCCGCCATTGGGGTCTAGTGATCACGCGACCATTAGCTTTACCACTAGCCCCGTAAATCGGAAGAGAATGTCACAAGGGACTTTTCGATAGCAGATTATGAAGAAATTGAGCGCCATTTGGCAGCTGTAGACTGGTTTGGCTCCTTTGAATAGTGTAGATACGGTAGATGGGAAATATGAACTTCTTCTAGGCATTCTTTCTCACACAATTGAGCTATATGTTCCACTCGTTAGCAAGTCATCAGGGAGTTCACACTTGCCCACCTATCTTTGCACTTTGGCACAAAAACGTGATCGGGCATGGGATAAGGCTCAGAAATCCAAGTCCTCACAAGACCACCTGGATTTTGCTCGTTTAAATAACAAGCTGAGTAAAATGCTCAAAAAATTCAATACATCGGTTGAGAGAAGAGTCATTCGATCAAAAAACAAAGCCACGTTCTAAACTTCTCAAGTCGAGACTAGCACAAAAGACCAAAATTACGGGTCTTCTTTCTTCCCCAGTCTATAGGGATGCTGATAAAGCAGGGTTGCTGGCAGACACTTTTCAGAAAGCCTTTCACTTGTCTGAGCAGGATGATGGGGATATGATCACCACTAAAACCAAATTCCCTGTGAAAATGTGCTGGAC